AGTCTGGAAAATTATAAATTTACATACATTGAAGTATTAAAATGAAGATGTTTTAGGTTACACGGATCCAAATAATAATCTTTTCATCAGATCTAGAATAGAGGAGGGAGACAGAGAGAGCGGTGGAACAACAGCGTCCTAGAGGAGGCTCACGTTATAATTCTTCAGCATCCGGTCGAATTTCATATGGATCACCACAGGAACGGAGCAGGAGCAAGTATCGGGTCCGGAAACGGTGACATCATCGAGAGAGAACGGACACGTGACGTAATGGCCTTTTTCTTGAGGAACGTGTTCCAAATCTTGCAGCTTGAATGTCCAAAGTCGCAATCGAGTCTTGTCCGACTCCGTCAAATGATGATAATACATTCGCTTGAACGTGACGATATGATACAGCAGGTGCTCTACGCTGACGAAATCACTGTTCATCTTGAAGACTTCTTTGACCACCCGGAGGAACACGACGATGTGAGGAGGAGCTCAGCAAGGGTACGACCGATCTCTGTGACGGCTGGGTGATGAACTGACGCTAAAATGTTACTCGTCGGCATAAAAAAGAACTTCGCGAGACGAGGATGATAGAACCGACATCATCTTGTGTTAACAGGCGCGAAATTTAAAATTCCTCCGGAAACACGGTGGATACTCGGGAAACGACGTTACTGCTCGTTTCGAAGTCGAAACTTACAATCGGAACGGTACAATAAGAAGCCACCCGACACACCTGCCACGTTGATTATCACGAGGAAGATCAGCATCAGTTTGTAAAAGAGAGAATAATCGATTTCTTCTTGCGGATCCGAGCACAGACGGAGATGTTCCAACACTGACCGAACGATCTCCCTTTCGGACTTCGTATGGGCGAGCGATGTCGGAAGAAGGCACGTTAGCCATTTCTCTTCACAGATGGCTTGAGGAGCGTCGACGGTGTTTCGTTGCATATGCGAACGGAACCAATCGTAGATTTTGCGCATTTCCATGTCGGTCGAGGAACACTCCATGAGTCTTGAGAGCGCGATGTCCATCGCTGTGGAGTTCCTTGTCGTCTGTTGTTCGGCGACAACCGCCGACGATGATAGGAACGTAATAAGCAGACTCGCAAGAAGCGATGTGCGGACGGTGTTGATCATTTCCATTGCCCCTCTTTTCCGAAGGTGACGACGACGACGACGACGACGAGCGATGACCCGACTCGATTCTACAGCAGACGAGGTTAAAGGCGACGAACGCGATAGCGGCGACCGGGAACTGGTAAGCAAGCAGCAAGTTAAGAACGACGCACGCCAACGATCGATACATCAAGACTGAGACGATCACGCGATGTCCTTCGTATTTATCCAGCTGTTGTGGGAGGAGTCGAAGCCGAGCCATTTGACGAGAGCTCTGTCTTTGTTCTTCCGCACCACCTTTTCCACCAGGTAGATGTCCTTGAAGTTGGTTTTCTGGAGTTCCTCAGCGTAGAATCCTCCTTTCACCGGGTTACCCTTGAGATCCTCGAGAACGTAAGTGATGGGTCGAGTACGGTGAACCCATTTGACCTTGAAAATTTCGGTGGTCCAGTTGGGCGTGTAGCCCTTCTCGAACAGAGCTTTATGCTTGCTGAGTCGGACGTAATCGCCTCGTTTGAATTTTCTCTTCCCTGTGTTCGGTCTATCGAGTCTCGCTAGTCTTTTCACTAGTCTTTTCTCATCTTTTTGCGTGACCTCGGCCGGTTTCATTCCTGTAGATCTATGCACACCGTGGTTGTACTCGTGCAACAAGGGTTCCAATAAATTGATCCACTCGTACGTTCCCTGCAGACTGAATCGCTTCCACATCCTGGTCTTTAACGTTCGATTGAATCGTTCCACTATCGATGCTTTCTTTGTCGAGTAGGAATTGTACAGATTTATGCCGTGTGACGTCATTAGCTTCTCGAAATGAGAGTTGAAGAACTCCCCTCCTTGGTCGACTTGTAGGTTCTTGGGTGCTTTCTTCGCTGATTTTAAAACTTTGACCATCGCAGCGGTGACGTCTACGCCTTTCTTCGTTTTGACAGGTTCGGCCCAGGCGTACTTCGAGCAGGTATCGATGACGGTGAGTAGGTATTTGAAGCCGCGATTGACCGACGCGTACGGTATCATCTCCACTAGATCCGCTTGCCACAGATCGAAGAGTCCGCGGATTTCCACCTTCCGACGAGGAAAATTGCGCCTCGCCGGTTTGTGCAGCTCGTCGACCACACCTCGTTTCGCTGCTGACGGTTCCATCTTCACCGGCTGACTGAGTCCGGTCGTCCCTCGGTGACACCTTTTATACCGACGATCGGATCGGTTACGATGGAATATTCATCTTGCGCCGACGGAGTGGTTTCGGGTACCTCCAGAATTTTCATTTGATCCTTCGAACTCATCTCCGTCAAGAGAGTTTCACGCGACCTCTCGATGTTAGCTTCGACCCGTTTCTCTAGCTCGTAGAGGCGATTGTTCAGCCAAGACAGGTTGACGGCGTCGGACTCTTCCTCGGGATCCGCGACCAGCTTGATGCGTTTCTTGAGCGCCGTGTAGTTTTTGTCCGAGTCCAATCGCATTCCCTCGAGTACGGGAAGGCTTTTTCCGACACCGAGAGATTCCTGCGGCAACGGTCTACCGAACTTATCGATCGTGCTCATCCCGACTCATCGAATGTAACCTCCTTCACGAAGCTCCTCTTCGATGCTCAGAATCTCTCTTTCGAGACCTGTGTTCCCGGCTTCCTTGGAGGAGACTAACAATGCTAGGCGTTCGACTAGTTCGTTGGGATCGTCCCAATACACGTAAGTCCGCTTTTGTTCCAGGGGTACGAACGCTCCGGCTCCAGTCTTTTTCTTCTTCTTCGTCTTTTTGACCGGAGAAACGGACGGAAGTTTAGGGTAGAGAGTCTTGATAATCTGGGTGTATTTCTTCGCTCGCGTAGCACGTAGTGGTTGATCGGCGTCGTAATTCACTCTGTGCGCGTTCGTCGTGTCGAGCAGCCTTTTATACTCTGTTAGATCCTCCGCTGCGTAGTTGCGAGGTGCACGTTTGAAAATGAGTTCCAGAAGACCGGGAGTCAGAGTGGTAAAAGGTTCCCCGTTCACCAAGAGGGTGTCCGTCTTGTCGAAGGAAACCGGTTTGCTGCCGATCATCCACTCCGCAACGGTGCTCCCTCCGTGTCGCACTCCGGAAACGTGATCGAATTCGGTCGGACCTTTACCTCCAGCCTTGATCATCTTGTAAAAATAATCTCCGGCCAGAGGTCCAAAATTCGATCGTACGTAGGTATCCAGCGAAACGTTCTCCTTCTCCACGTCCTCTCCATCTTCTTTGCCTTCTTCGGTGGAGATCGATAAAGCTTCTTTTTTGACGGAGGTCGATATAGCTTCTTCTTTCACGTTGGTCGACTTAGGTTCTTCTTTGACAGCGGAGACTTTAGACGGATCCTTTATTCGTAGTAAAGCCTTCAACGGTTCGGCCACAGGCTTGAACGTCTTCTCCAACTCCAGCTCCGTCACGGCTTCACCGCGGCGTAAAGCATTATACTTCTTTCTGATCGTCTCACGAGCGCGAATGATATCGTCCATGTGCTCCATGGTCTCGGTACTCACTGATGCGAGCGGGTACAAGTCGACGCTTTATATAGACACCGAGACCTCCTCCTTCCCCCTGCGAATCCGGTTTCTATCGAACGACGTCGGGTTTCGCAGCGCTCAGAGTTTTATAAAGGTGTCGAACCCTTTCCTGTATCGACCGTTGTCCATGTCGCTATCCTTGTCTATCACCAAAAAGCCGTACTTGTCCTTCGACCAACACAGGGCGCACATACTTTTGAAATCCTCGAAGGGCATATCCGTGTTCACGTGATCGTCGTACACGTGTTTCAAGTTCATCTCGTCCTGTCGGAACAGAACGATCAGGTTGGCGTTGTCGCGGATGAGTTGTTTGGGAATCCGACTGTACGTTTGACACAAATAAAAACTGTCCACAGAACTGTGTCGACCCATGCTGAAATATTCCCGCATCGTGTTCTGTTTGTCGCAAGCCACATCGTCGAAAATAAAGATCGAGTCGGGCGCTGCCTCGCTAGGTTTTACGATCTCCGTATTATCGGAAAACACGTGATATCCGAGATCGTCTACACTGTTCAAAATTTTGCCGAGAGTCGCGTACTTAGGTTGAAACGGCGTTTTCGAATATAAATAAACGTTGCGGAACTTCAGTCCGTTAGAGTCCAGAAGCAGACAAACCATAACGTTCGTTTTCCCGCAGTTCGACGGGCCGCAGATTATCGACCGTATCGAGTCGGGAAGGAGGACGCTATGTCTCCTTTTGACTTTTTTCGCACCGTTCGACGGCGGATCTGCGTTCTTCACCTTGAGACGTTTACGTTGCGGTTCCAGACGCATCCTCACGAGTACTGAAGTTCAAACTAACCGCGGCAACCCTTATATACTCCCCCCCCCCCCCCNAGTATATAAGCACGAATGGTGTTATCGATCGCCTCAGTCGTTAGTCAATCATATACCAGTGAGGATGTCGCCACCCGAGCGTACAGGTGCTGGAATCCGCACCGTGGTGCAGAAAGTTATCGATTGGTTCCGCAAGATGGGAGGCGCTGCAAGAAAAGTCGGCAAAAGAAGCGGAGGGCGTCCGAGACGCAAAGGCGGAAGAAGACGAGAAATGGATCCCGAAGACATGATGCCTCCGGACGACGACGAGACGACGAGCGTCTTGGAAGACGATACGCAAGACGAAGGTTACGACATCGCTGGTAACAACGATCCTGAATCCATGCTAACCGTAAGACGGAGAAGGTAATCCGAAGTACCTTCCTCGTGACGTCACCTGACCTAACCTGCGTTTCAGTGCCGACGATCGAGCGTTCGAAAGGTATAAAAGGCCGTGTAATATCGGACTCGCTCAGTAGTGGTTATGAAGCCAACGCGGCAACAACGTCGTCGCCGTCTCCGTCGAGGCAAAGGCATCCTAAATAAACTTATCGATTTGCTCCCGATCGAGGCGCACATTCCCGGAGGATACCGGTACTGCGGACCTGGAACGAAACTGGAGAAGCGTCTGGCTCGAGGAGATCCACCGATCAACGGCCTGGACTCAGCTTGTAAGGACCACGACATTGCCTACAGCAAAACTAGCGACACCAAGGAGAGGAACAGAGCCGACTTGGAGTTGGCCGACAAAGCCTGGCAACGCGTCACAGCGGGAGATTCCTCTCTCGGAGAACGTGCAGCAGCTTACGCCGTTACGAACGCGATGAAGCTAAAAGCGAAAATGGGAATGGGAGCGCGCCGTCGTCCCCATCGCGGTGGCTGTGTGAAGAAGAAGAAGAAAGTCGGCAACGCGATCCGACGTAAACGGAAGACTACCAAGGGTGCCGGTGTCAAACGCAAGAAGACCGCAACCAAACGTCGAAACCGAGTTGTTACGCGCATCATCCCCGTGCCGAAAACCGGAGGAAACTTAGAATCCACGTTATCGCGGTTAGGTCTAACGACTAGCTCCATCCCACCAGCCGTGAAGAAAATCACGACTGTTCTCAGAAGGAAGAAGAAGAAGAAGACCGGAACTCGTATCGGCAAGGGGTTGTACCTGCGTCCCTACCGTTCCGGTTACGGACTTTACCTGAAACCGTGGGCGCCCGATTTAAACTGATTCGAGAGCTGCCGCTGAAACCGCTAACAGACACTGAACTGAGATGTGTCGTGAAACAACTCGGGGTCCCCAACTTTCGCGGGGTTTTCATGCGCGATCAACTCGTCGGTAAAAGACCTCGTGCCGAAGAGTGCGCCATCGTCAACTTGGACGCGAGCAGTGGACCGGGAACTCACTGGGTGGCGTACAGCAAATGTCACTCCCGTTCCCTCTACTACGACAGTTTTGGTGATATACCGCCACCCCGAGAAGTTCAACGATATTTGGAGAGCGGTGGCTCGATGATCGAGTACAATTTCTTTCCCGAACAATCTTACGATACGGTCGTTTGCGGACATCTCTGTCTGAAGTTCCTTATAAAAGCGACTCGACTTTGGAAATCTCTATCAGAATGAGTGAGACTATCATACTGTCCGGATGTGCGAGCGTGCTGGACAGCGTGTTCGCACCACCGATCACGCTAGACCCTTCACGTAGCCATTACATCGGTCTCGTCGAATTCGTAGCCTACAATGCTATACCGAACGTTACCGAATCGAATCGAGTGTTCCAGTACGGTGACGCTAAGGAGGAGATCCTACTCCCGCGCGGAGCCTACGAGATTTCGGCTATCGAACAGTACATCAAGGATCGTATGGGTCCCGAAAACTTTTCGTTGAACGCGAACAACAACACGATGAAATGCGTGATGAAATCTTCGGAAGCGGTCCATTTCGACCATCCGCATTCGATAGGTCGATTGTTGGGATTCGAATCGAAAGTTTACGAGGCGGGCGTCAAACACGAATCGACTTTCCCGATCAACATCTTCTCCGTGAACATGATTCGGATCGAGTGCAACATCGCTACGGGAAGCTACGTCAACGGACGAATCGCTCACACTATTTTTTCCTTCAGTCCTAACGTTCCACCCGGCTACAAGATGGCGCTGTCTCCGCGGACCATCATCTACAATCGTATAAATACAACGACCATCGAACGTTTGGGCATCAGTTTCGTCGATCAAGACGGGAGGCCGGTCGACTTTGGCGGTGAAACAGTCACGGTTCGTCTGCACATTAAATCGTCCGATGGGTAAGCTGAAGAATATAAATAAGCGTCACGAGTATTATTCCCGAGTCAGTCGTGATCCGACACGCAAGCGGTTAACACCTTACAGTCGCGCAGTGTTACAACAGCTAGGCTACACCGTCATTTCACCATGATCAACTGGAGGGACATCAATTATTTCCAATACCATTATTACCATCCGTACATTAACAGTTTCCGGAATAACGATGAGATCCGGATTCCGGTCAACAGTCAGGACTTGTACACAGCCCCGGGTTTCTCCAAACTCTACGTGGAAGGCACCGTCAAATACTCGCCGAAGACTGCCGGAGCTTCTGCCGATACTACGACTAACGTCACTTTAACGAACAACTGCATCGCGTTCCTGTTCGATCAGATCCGCTACGAAGTGAACGGGAAAGAAATCGATCGCACACGTCACACCGGGATCACGAGTACGGCCCGTGTCCTACTCACTCGAACCAAGGACGAAGCGTCCGCCCAGGAAATCGGCGGTTGGGAGGGTCTCTCCATCGAGAAGGAAGACGGGTCGTTTTGCGCTCTGATCCCACTCGATTTGCTGTTGGGCTTCTTCGACGATTTCAAAGGGACCCTCCTCCGCATCAAACAAGAGCTGATCCTCATCCGTTCTCGGAGCGACAAGAACGCCTATTCCATCGGTGCTCAAGCCGAGACCGATGCGGTCAGTATCGAACTGCTCAAGGTACAGTGGCGTGTCCCGCAAATCAAATTTAATCTGGGTCCTGAGAAGACCATCCTGGATCAGATCAAGAGCAACGTGAGCTTCCAGATCCCTTTCCGCAGCTGGGAGACCCACGAGTATCCGCAACTTCCGAGTAACAACAAAGAGACCTGGAAGCTAATGACGACCAGCAACGTGGAGGCGCCGACCTACATCATCGTGCTGTTTCAAACCTCCAGGATGGACAACGAGAAGACGGATGCCAGCAAGTTCGACCACATCAGACTCCGCTCCATCAAAGTTCATCTGAACAGCACCGCCCTACCTTACGAGAACTTGAACGAGGATTTTCAACGGAACAGGTTCTTACATTTCTATCAGAACTATCTCAACTTCATCCCTGATTACTTCGACGGAGAAAAATTGTGCGAGCCGCCGTTGAATAAATTGAAATTCAAGGATGAGAATCCCATGTTCGTGATGAGGTGTTTGTATCAAGACATTTTGAAGCCTGGTCCTTTGGACATTCAGATAGATATGGAGGCTGATGTAAATTTCCCTAAGAACACTACAGCTTACGCTATTCTCATCCATGATGTAGTATTCGCATATCAATCTCTCACCGGTACGGTCAAACGTATTCGCTGAGTGTTCTCGAGAAGAGCGGGAAAGAGCTGCCGCAGTTTCAATTTTTACTATAGTCTTAAAATATTTAAAAGCTTTTCACTTTCATCTTTGAATAAATAAAGACTATTGTAGCTAAATGTATTCTTTTAGACACTCGATTCTGAGTAAATTGCAAAGTAAATTATCGATTTAGTGCAGCTCTTTCCCTCTCATTTTTCCTCCTATTTTAAATCTAGAAATTAATTACATGTCATTATTTGTTTCTTTGTATTTCTTCAGTTTTTAAAGTTTGATTCGTTCCATTAGAGTGAACTTCTTTTGTCAAATTCTTCTTTTGTCAAGAACTTCTTTTGTCAAAATTAACTTTCTTTAGAATTCGTAATTTCGTTCAATATTCAAAATGTCTTTTACTTTGTATTCTTTCGAATAAATCTTTGGAAATTGTATTTTCTTTTAAGAATTTCTTTATTTGCTCAATAAATTTCAAAAAAAAAATATAAATCCATCTTCTTTTTTTTTTTTCCCTCGTCATATAATTGGGATAGGAAGGAGGGTAGCATCGTAAGAGTCAAACATGCTCTGACAATACTATCCTCAGGGAGTAGGAGGGAGGGAGGGATGGGGGTGGAAAACTGAAATGATAAGATTTTGTTTAGATCGATCGAATGTTTATTAACCGAACTGTTGAAAATATTACAATCAGAATACAATCATTGAAAAGTTACATATTCAAATCTCAGAATGAGTTATGATGCCGTGTTACACGGTACAACTAAAATAACACAAAATAAATTTAACAATACATTTGAATGAGCCGAGTTACGGCAAGAATACATCATTACCTTAGGTTAATCTTCGATTAAAGAAATCAGAGGAGAGATTGACTGAACCGAGTTTGGTCAAGGATACATTACAAATAAATCATTACAAAAGGTTAATATTCGATTAAAGAAATCAGAGGAAAGATTGACTGAACCGAGTTTGGTCAAGGATACATTACAAATAAATCATTACAAAAGGTTAATCTTCGATTAAAGAAATCAGAGGAGAGAGATTGACTGAACCGAGTTTGGTCAAGGATACATTACAAATAAATCATTACAAAAGGTTAATATTCGATTAAAGAAATCAGAGGAGAGAGATTGACCGAATCAAGTTCATTTCGATTAAAGAAAAGCATAGGAAAGCGAGAATTACATAAACTGGCGAAGGAAGCGGAAGACTTTGTCCTCCGGAAGGGCTCTAGCGAATTGGATAATGTTGTAACGAGCCTCTTGGACGAAACTTCTCTTTTCGTACACTGTAAGGCAAGGAAGTTGCGAAGGGTATGCCCCAACTCCGTTGTGATAAACGCTCTCTACTCTCCTATACCAAGATCCTTCTTTGACAGTGTCCGCATCGATTCTGAGTCCCAGTTTGAACCAATCGGGGTCCTTTAAAAATTTACGATTGAAATATTCGACAGCATAAAACTCGGACAAGATTTGCTCACGCATGAGGTGCTCTTCCCCAACTTGTAGGCTGTGTTCGAAGAATTTGTCGAAGACGATTAAGAACAATGCATAGTCTTCTATGTCTTCTAAAACTTCATGTACCATTATTAAATGATCCTGAAGCATAGAGCGACATCTCCCGATGCACGAGTGATTAGGATCATCGAAGACAGATGGTAAGCGATAGACTTGCATTTTTTCCCAACCGTCCTGGACTGTTTCCAACACGCACTTGAAGTGGGGAAGACCGTAATAGCAGTCGCTCGCTAGTCTCTTGAAAAAAGCCACTTTCGTCTCCATAGTGAATTGAATTTCCTTATTCAGACGTGCAAACTCCAGGGGGTCGACTTTACCGGTAGCCTGCAGCAACAGCGAATGCTTCAACACTGAAACAGAATCGATGCGAACACAGTCTTAGAATACACATCATTACTGATAGAAATTATTCGCAAGAGGAAGCATGGTTTTGCATCCTTTGAAAAATGTTCATCAGATACGTCGCCGTCCGAGCTGCGCATTGCGGATGATCGTAAAAGCAAGTGATTACAGGTCGAGTGACGTCATCGGCGAGATATCTATCGTAAAGACCGCATACGTCTTCGCAATGCTGCTCGAGTGTGACGATCCGAACGGAAGTACATTTGTAGGGGAAGATATTCTCCTTGACCAGCGTATCCTCCACGACCCAATTCTTGAACTTTTGTGCTATCGTGACGAACAGAGACTCCAGACATCTGTAGGGGATGACACCGTCGTTCCAAGGCAGAGTGAGGCTATCTTCAACGGTACGCTTGACTCGAAATCTATCAGCAGCACTGAGGTTGTCCCAAGAGAAGGGTGGTCGAAAGGTCCAGACTCCGAAGGATCGTCCGTGGGGGCAAACGATCGCCACCTCTTTGCAAACGAACGTGTTGGTAAGCAGGTATCCTTTCACGTCCATGAAACACGTCATTGTCCGCCGGTTCAGTCAAACTCTGCAACAAAGAAACCTCATCGGTAATGGTCCACGCTCTCCTTAGGCTTTTGATGATGATGGTGCGGCTTTAGACGAAGCTTGGGCTTCCGACTCCGGTTCGTCAAGGCTGTCCACGACTTCAAATTTGAAAGTCGCAAAGTGTTGATCTACCATGACCAAGTCGAGTCTTCTCGAGTTGAGCTCCTCTAGATCCGCATCGGAGATCGTTGCGTTGTAGGATTTCGGTAGGTAGACCTTGCACTTCTCACCACCGATGGTGATGTAGGCCAGGATGCTCGCTCCGTATTTGGTATCGACGCGTAGCATCTTTCGGAGAGGGTAACGCTGGCCTTTCACCAAATCCTTGGAGTGGACCAATTTCGCTGGCTTCGTCGGGGTATACAGAACGTGATTGTTCAAAGCTTCCATTTCGATCCTGAAACAAAAAATGGGAATTACAAAAGAAGGGTATTGGCGGAACAACATCTCTTTACAGAATAAACATCATCTGAAGAATCTTCCGCCGGTCTTTTCCGTTTCTCTCCCAACCATGTTGCTTTGATCAACGCCAACCGTAAATTTTCGATCCGTTCGAGGTTTTCTCGAAGGTTGACTCCCGTTCTCCGGTCGTGAGAGCGCAGAAGGATGATTCCCGCCAGTCGAACTTGCAGGTGTTCCGCCCAATCGCTGCGTTTCTTCAGGGCGTAGTGTCCGAAGGGTAGAGACACTACGTTACCTTGCAGGATGAACCGTTTGTCATCGTAACTGCAGATGGCTTTCTTCCTACTCTGAACGGTATAAATTTCATGCTTCTTGCTTGTTATCGTTCTGACGTCTCTGTAAGCATCCTTGTTTTGATATATCCCGTCTATGAAATCGTCCAATCCGATCGACTTTTGGACTACGCTCTTCTGCACTCCTTTGGCTCGTTTGTCCATCTTGCTCGCTGTTCGATACAAGTAAAGCTTGGCTCTGATGGCGACGACCTCGACGATCGGATCTCCTCCCGTCTCGTCTTTGAAAGTCCCCATAACCTTGTAGTTTTTATCCGAGAAGCAGGGGTGGTCCTTCGGGTAGTTGGAGGTGTCGAAGATGTTCAAATTTAGGCGGAGGTCGGCGTAGAGATCGGGAGTCTTCACCGAGTAGATAAAACTGTCCGTATCCATATAGACTAAGTGGACGTTCTCTCTGGGATACCGTTTCAACATCTCTTCGTAGTGGAACTGGTACATGTGGACCTTGGACAGGTCTAAAATGGAAAACCCGACGATTCCGGGGCGATCGAATTTGACGGTCTTTTTGTGCAGTTCCACAACTGCCAATTTCTGATCGAAAATCTTCCGATCCAGGAAGTCCGCTCTTCGGATGAGTTTGGCCATTCTCTGCTCCGTAGAAGCGAGGAGCATCTTCTTCCGCTTGAGCGGATTCTCAAGAAATTTACCATAGCAGGCGTTGGAGCACAGTTTCAGCAGGGATTGGTGGAATTCGTTCCCTTTCGCCTCTTGACGTAGGCGGGCGTTGAGCTCGATGAACTCCCGAAGGTAGGGTCGCTGATGGAAACGGATCCCTCGACGCAGAGCTGACAGTTTGAGCCCGTGTTTCAACGCCTGTTTCAGCGCAACGTAATGGATGGTGTACTTCCTTTTGTGTTCCAACGTTGTTAACAATTTTGGATGTTTAGATCCGAGTTGCGGCGGTACTTGATTTTCGCAGCAGAAGGGTAAATCCACATGTTTGTCATGCAGCTCTTCCGGGTACTCTAGGTCCACCTCGAAGATATATCCGATGTCTCCGTTTTCATCCAGCGAACGGATCTTGTCCTCCGTGAAGGTGATTAGTTCGTGCGGCTCCAACCATCGGTAATCCCCTCGAGGCAAAGGCTTGCACATTGTGAAGGCGTACAAGGCGGTGACGTCAAAGTAGGCCAGGTACGTTTCCGGTTCTCGAGGATCGTACGAGTCTTTCAGATAGGGATTGTTGGCGACTGCGTGTCGGAGCATCGATTGCGAGATTCCACCCCGGATGCTAGTCAGAATCATCGTCGTCATCTCGTGTTGGGATTCTTTGAAAAGGTCTATTTTTACTTTTGTCATTTTCAGGAAAGCTCTAAATGCGAAGCTGGGCAAGGTAAGGAAATTCGCCGGATCAAGTTTGTAGTGCTGCTGCCCGAACTTCCTGAACTCTTGAAATACATCGGCCAGGAGACACACGTCTAGTTTCAGATAAAAGTCCACGTATTCTCCTAAATTTTCAAAGCCGAACAACTCCCATGTCTTGCAGAATCGTGCGTAGTCGGCATCTGAAATATGCTCCGATTTCAGTTTACTGTAGAACTCCTCTTTTGGTGGCGGTTGTGTAACTTCCAACTTGGTTTCGTCGGTGACGTAGTCGTAACAGAATACTGCTTTCTGCTTCGCAATCTCCAACTGTTCCGGCGTTGAGCACAAAGAACGTGTGCGGATGAACGCCTCGTCGGGTAGCGTTGAGGCTAGTTTCTCCAGCGACGCAGCCAAGAATTTGAAGCTGTCGATGAATTGTATCTTTACGCCTTTTCCGGACCTCACGTTGATGGTGATGTACCGCTCGCTCGTCTGCGCGATGATCTCGGGCTTGAGGTTTCTGCCGCTCAAGGCCTTGACCACTTTGTGGAAATCGTACGGAGAGCCGTTATGGAAGACGACCATCAATGTTTTGGGATGCTTGAACTGCAAGTTACATCTTCTACAAAGAGCCATCCTGTAATTAGATTTCTCCGGGTCGACGTATTGGTGGTCGTGATCCCTCACTTTAGGATTGTCTTTGGAAAAAGGTAAGTCGCACAGCTGGCACTCGGTTACTGCTTGGAAAGCCGCCTCGGCTTCAGCGTCCATCCTTATGTCTTTTTCGATCTGGAACCTCTCAGATATCCGTTCTGCAAGCCCGATCATGGCGTCCAGGAAAACGTTGTGAGCGTCCGGTCCACGATAGAGAATCGGCTCGTCCGTATTAATCTCAGGATCAGGCGAGACGACCGTGTAGGCGAAAGACATGGTCTTGTGATATTGGTAGGCGAACGTCGGTTGGTTAGGATCGAAATCGACATCCTCCAGGTAGCACTCGAAGTCGCAATAGGCGACGTATTTGTGTGTCAGAGCTTTCGAATGGTCCTTGAACTGCAGCACACATTCTTTATCTGCGGGGTACTCGATCCGGGCTTCTCTCTTTATAAGCTTATCGCACTCTTGCTTGTGCCTTGTCAGACTATCTTCGTTTTTGTTGAAGTAGAAACACGCCTTGCATATGAAGATCTTGTGCTGATGTTTCGTCAACTGACTCCTAACCAGTTTCTCAAAATCTGAAATGTAACACCAGTGAGATTTTTTGCCCTTCGTGAAGTACAAAAGATCGGTGTGATCCGGTTTCTCTTCTCTGGAAACACGTAAGGGATAGATTTGCGGTTTCTTCTTTGGTTCCTTCTTCTTCTTCTTAGACACCTTCTTCTTCTTCTTAGGTCTGGCATCAACCACAAAGACGTCGTCTGGCTCGTCAACATCTTCTTCGGCATCATCGTCACTGGCGCCTTGAATGTAGTCATCAGGACCGAGTCCGATATCAGCGTACTCTCCGCGTTCAGTTTCCTCTTCGTCCTCGCTGTCGCTGTCGTCATATCCGTCGATTCCGAACACTGAAATCGAGACGTCGTTCCTTTTTTCAAATTTTGAGACATCTTGCACGGATGTCGGGAAGGGAACACAAGAAAAATCGTAGCGTTGCAAGTAGGGAGTGTACTTGGTCACTCGATACTTGTTAATCGTATCCGGAGGTAGATGTTTCCCCAGGACCGCGTACTTGAAGCACATGTGATCCTCGTTCTTCACATTTACCACCGCGTTCGTGGTGAACGGCAATGGAAGGTAACTGGATCCTTTGGAGAGTGCGCTGTTAAAGTTGATCCTCAGTTCCGTACCGATGATCTTCTCGAGAGTGTACCCTGATTCGTTCATGGTGCATTCGATAGCTTCTTGAATGATGCTTTCTGCCATCTCAGAAGTTATGCCTTCGATATCGCTTTCCCTGAAATAAGTATAATTAGTCGTTTTAAAGGATACATATTTCTTCTCCTCCTTCTTCTTGTTCTCCGGATCGTCTTCGGGTTTCTTGTACAGCGAGTAGACGACAATGTTCACTTTCACCGACGTCAGCTCGATCAGGGAGTCCCGGATCTTGTGATGTATAACGGGTGCCGTGTCATCCTTCATATATCGCTCGTAGTCCAACTGATTCGCGTTGAGGTTCCTCAGAAAGAAGGTCTGGTAACGACTTCGAAACGCGGATTCCACGAGAGTGACAGGTTCTTCGAGAGCAGCAAGGGTCCGTATGTGTGAGAGGGTCCTTTCGTGCTTCTCTCCGAGATTATACCACGCTCCACATACGTTGCAGTACCTTTGTCCATCGTGGTTATCGTCGTTCGACATCACTGCGAGCCTGTAATTTCAAAAGCTCTCGCATAACGATTGTTACTTTCTCTCTATTTCCAGACTAGAAAAAAGGTTGTACCACCGCCTTTACCATACTCTGCTCAGACGTCTATTCAGACGTTTATATGATGCTTTAATCGGCTCCCTTCGAAGCACAATCGGACATTACCTCGGGCTACCACCCGTTCCGGTCGTAGAAATCCGCGAAGATGATGATTCCACGGAAGAAGAATTTACAGATTTCGAAGACGGACACGCAAGTCCCCCGATGATCGTCTCCGATTTCAGTTCAGATGCTGAGGAATCTTCCGACGAGGCGATGAGATAAAATTAAAAGGTGCGCCGAATTGAAAATTGTTTTTTTATTATTTTTTGTTTCTATATGTCATAAATGAAGTGTTTTTTTTTTATTATTTTTTTTTAAAATGATTAAATATTTTATTAAATAAAAATGTGTTTGTTTACTTACTTATTCCAAAGGTTGATTTTCCAAGAAAAATTCCACAGGGACCGGAGGATGGACGGAAGGATGGATGGATGGATGGATTGATTCGCCTAGTCGGGTCTCCGCAAAATCCAATGAAAAGCCGTCAATGCTACAAGGGTCCTGAAATTCCGAACCCAACATGGATTAATTAAGATGTTGCATGAATATAATTGAATATTGTTTATCGGCAAAGTGATAGCTTAAATGATTAACGTACCTAGGTTTACTTTACTTCTATCTTTTTTCTTTCTTTTTTTTACAAAAAAAACTGAAATAAAAAAGTGATAAATTTATGAAGTGAAATTGGAAAGTGTAAGCTATCAATTAGTGTAAGTTAAAAATTGATTAAATGAGAAGAAAAATGTTTTTTAAAAAATATTTCCAAATAAATTTTGGATATGAAAATTTGAAAATTTAACCTCTAAATTAGCGTAAATTGAAAATTGATTCAATGTCGAAAAAAAAAAAAAAAAAAAAATTGGTAAAATATTTCGAGATAAAAAATTGGAAGTGAAAATTTGAAAAAATTAAATCTCTAAATTAGTGTTAATCGAATATTGACTGAATGTGAAATTTTAAAAAAAAAAATTGGAAATGAAAATTTGAAAAATTTAAGCTTTAAATTTATCAAAATTAAAAATTTGAAAATAGATTGAGAGAAATTTGGAAGTGAAAATTTGAAAAATTTAAGCTTTAAAAATAAATTGAGAGAAATTTAGAAGTGGAAATTTGACAAATTTCAGCTTTAAATATATCAAAATTAAAAATTTGAAAAATAGGATGAAAGAAATTTGGAAGTGAAAATTTGAAAAATTTAAACTTTAAAAATAAATTGAGAGAAATTTAGAAGTGGAAATCTGAAAAATTTAAGCTTTAAATGTATCAAAATTAAAAATTTGAAAAATAGGATGAAAGAAATTTGGAAGTGAAAATTTGAAAAATTTAAACTTTAAAAATAAATTAAGAGAAATTTAGAAGTGGAAATCTGACAAATTTAAGCTTTAAATGTATCAAAATCAAAAAATTGAAAAATAGGATGAAAGAAATTTGGAAGTGAAAATTTGAAAAATTTAAACTTTAAAAATAAATTAAGAGAAATTTAGAAGTGGAAATCTGAAAAATTTAAGCTTTAAATGTATCAAAATTAAAAATTTGAAAAATTGATGAAAGAAATTTGGAAGTGAAATTTTGAAAAATTTAAGCTATACATGTATCAAAATTAAAATTCTAAAAAATGAAATGAGAGAAATTTAGAAGTGGACTTTCGAAAAATTTAAGCTTTAAATGTATCAAATTTGAAATTTTAAAAAAATAAATTGAGAGAAATTTAGAAGTGAAAATTTGAAAAATTTAAGCTTTAAATTTATTTAAATTAAAATTTGACTAAATGAGAAGAATGAAAAAATTTCAAAATATAATTTGGGATAAATATTCGGAAGTAAAAATTTGAAAATCAAGCTTTAAATTTATCTGAATCAAAAAAGCGACGAAAAAGAAAACATGATGAGATTCATAAAGAATAATTTTAAAAAAACTCACCGTAAAGGAAAAATCCCACTAGGTTTGTATCCTGGGTAAAACTGCACAACACTAGCAGAAAACAAGCACTTAGATCCGAAATAAATTAGGGAGCGGTTCACAGTCCGTAAGAGATAAGGTACACACACACGATGAACCACTTGGGAATTTCCAAAAGGCACTGGGGTCACAAAGTCGCAGAGCACTGAGTCGTACACACGAACGCAGGAAGGAAGGCACTGACTGGTCGACCCGGTCCGCGCTGCGTTTTATATCCAGGTTTTCGTACAGGTATGTACCTGATCTGCACGCACGAACCTGATTTAGTGACGTCATGGAAAAATCCGCGACGAACAGGTTGCTACAGGTTGCAGGTTGCCAACTCGAAGGTGGAGACATGGAGCTCCGATCTCCGGACATGTTCGGACTCGCATCGTGCGGCAACACCGCGCGCCCGAGGTAGGTACAAGTTCCAGCTTGCATCATGGCACGGAGAGGGTGGAACAGGTTTCCACTTGTTCCGCGACCGGTTCATAATTGTTACCAAACAGGTTTGCACTTGTTAATTGTCAGGTTCATACTTATCTCTGAACAAACCTGAACTTGTTGGGGGAAAAAAAATTTGAGGGTCAAATCATGTGTGAACTTGTCCCGCAACAATTTCCCTCTTGTCACAGAACATGGCTGAACTTGTTACGTGACATGTTACGGCAGGTTACTTTGAATCACCGACGACGATGGAGATTCGTGAGGAATGCACATCATAAATTATCGCTGAGCACCGGCGAGGTGCGCGACCAACATAGGACGCCTCCCGTCCGTAAGGTATGCAACCCGCATTTCATAGGAGTCGTGAGGAATGCACATCACAAATTATCGCTGATCGTCGGCGAGGTGCGCGACCAACATAGGACGCCTCCCGTCCGTAAGGTATGCAACCCGCATATCTGCACCTTAGGTCGACGAGGCACGCAACCCGCGACTGAAATGGACTTAGGTTAGGTTAGGTTAGGTTAGGTTAGGTTAGGTTGGGTTAGGTTGGGTTGGGTTAGGTTAGGTTAGGTTAGGTCACACGGTAACGCTGTACTTGGGTTAGGTCACACGGCAACACTGAACTTAGGTTAGGTTACATTTCGACATCTCAGGTGTTTGCAAGTCGCCATTTCCCCTCTACTAATATGAACAAGCCTGCTCATTTCAACCGGTACATTTCTCAAACGCATTTAATTAAAATTTAAGTAAAATTAATACAATTTGAATGATCCAGTTTATCCGTCACATCCAAAGCGGGTAATACACGTTTTTGAACTACATCGTCACCCCCCTGCCGAAAGTATCACAAGCGCCATGCGACGTTCAAAAATTTCCGTCGTCATTTTATTTTTTTACAGAGAAATTGTTGGTTGAATCTACTTAAAAATTTCACTGAATTTTATCGGCAGTTTGAAGAAAATTCAGTGAAATTTTCCAATGGATTCAACCAACAATTTCTCTGTAAAAAAATAAAATGGCGGCGGAAATTTTTAAACATCGCTTGGCGCTGTGTGATACTTTGGCCAGAAGGTGACGATATATCTAACATCTGTTTTTCAGTAGATATTATTCAGAGTAGATTTCACAGTTTATTTTAGTCGATTGTGTTATTTGACGGCAGATCCGTAAATAAGGTAGCCAGGGCACCGATGTTTCCACGGAGACTTCAACGAAATTCAAGGAAAACAAGCGATCGCGACTGAAAATTTTAGTCCATCCCAAACCACGACCGGAAGCTTACATTGATGATGTTGCGCACTAATTAGGGCTGCATGTATCATGTATCTCACAGTGTAGCAAGCTTTTTAGTCTCTTTGTTACGTAATATTTTTACACTGTGTGTAAAAAAAGTTGCGAATCGCCTTGGGCAACCCAGATACTTCCAATGAATCAATTATACTGAATGTTTTCCACTCGGAATTAGAGCTTGCAACTGCTTGGTTATAACTCTACATAATGCGGAAACTTCCAAATTCTTAGAAAAAAGTTTTGATAGATAGTTCATATTCCCGATCATGCTCAACTTCAATTTCGAATCGTCACAAAATTTCAATTTAGGTAAAACATTTTAGGTTGCAAAGGTATAAAAAATGCGTATCTCAAATTGCTAAATTGCCAACTTCGCTCATGTATTATTCAATTTTTAAAAATAAAACGAACGGGTAGTTTTTCTCGACGTTTTCTGAGAATTTTCAAACTCATTTTAAAACACTCATCAGAAATTTTATGGAAATATTTTGGTTAGTTTCCTTTTAAAAGAAAGTAAAACATGATCAGAGATTTTCAATGGGTGTAATGGGAGCACACGCTTTTCGACTAAGTGTACTTCGTAGTTTTCCGCACATAGGAACGCAACTCCATTCCAAGGTTGTAAAATTGACTCGTGCAAGTCAAATGTTTACAAGAATGCACCTACATGTGCGGTTTCTGTCAAAAATTTCAATGATTTTGCTATAAGATCTTAAAACAAATCGGAGAAATTGTCTGTTAAAAATGCCCAAGATTTTCCTGGTAAAAATGAAATTTTGGAAGAGAAATTTGGCAACATTGAAATGCAGTTACGCTCTTTCGTAAGAGGACGTCGATTTATCGAATTGGCGAATCTCAATAATCGTGAATCCATTGCTCTCTAATTTTATTCCCTTACGTCTTTTCAAGAAAGACAATTAAATATCCGAAATTTTCCTTCTGTTTCAGACTCTCAACATCGGGACATGCAGCCAATATTATTGACCCTGCTGGTCGTTGCGACCCTGTGGCAGGGCTGCTCCCTCGGAACCCCCCGAAATGAGCTCGTTGAAGTCTTCAGTTGGAAAACCCTGGACTTCGCTTACCCGAGTGAACAGAGCCGGCAGCAAGCCATCGCCGCGGGTGACTTCATCCCCGGGAACAGCGTCCCCATGGGGGTCGAGGTGTGGCAGGACAAGGTTTTCATCTCCGTTCCTAGGCTGGGGAAGGGTGTCCCCTCGTCCCTCAACTACGTCAAAATGAATGGTGAGCAGCAAGTTTAATTAGCTGAATAATAAATGGGTTACATTTTGCAATAAGGAACCACTGTCTCTAGCTTATCCATACGGCTCTGTACAACCCAAATTAACCGAAAAAAAGGCCTGGTAGGGTAGGTCTGGGCCACACTGTATGTTTAATTGCAATTTTTTGCAGTCTGTGTTCCTTGGGCAGATTGTGGAAACGTTAAGAAAAGAAGAGGCACATTGATTTAGGCATGGAATTGCAAACCTCGGCAAAGGTGTAAGTTCTTACATACCTGCACACTGGGGCAGTGAACTGGTATAAAGCGGACCTTGAACTTGACATTAGAGACTGAGGTGCGCCCGTGTTCCCCTGTCTCCGCTCCGAGTGTTGTGTTGTGATTCTTGTCTCATTATACATACATGAATCCTTGCCGAATAATAATCAACTTTTGTGCAATGAAAATCTGTATTTATTCGAGACCTGAGTACACGGTCTTTCATTCATGAAACTAAATCATGGGCACTGCGTGCTCTGTTTTATCCGAGTGGCAGGGACTCCTGCATTTATCTTCAAGGGAGGGTAGAAGGAGAGTTGAGCGGGTTTGTTTATCTTTGGCTAGAACTGCGGTTATTGCACTCCTTTGCTAAACTCATGAATAGTCATTTTCTAATTGGCAGCATTCGCTAATTCGTGACTAATGAATCACGAGCTTGCCAAGCAAATATCTTTGGGTCAAGCTATACAGATATCTTACGTTTGTAACAAAAAATCTTTCCAATTCGTGTTGTACCATTTAACGGAGATGAACGCTAATTGAACCTAACTTCTAGTACGAAATGCTGAAGAAGGCAAGTTACAAAGCCCCTGAGTTCCTGCAGCATTTTTGGCGGATATCAAGTCGAGTGATTTTCGTCATGCTACTCTGATCCGAAGCATTTTATTGGCATGTGACACAGAAAAAGTGATTAAAAGTTAAATTTCGCAGTCTTGTGACGTCACTTGGTAAAATTTTGATCGCGAGTATCTCAGAAACGGTGAATATACATAGAAAAAACTACAAAAAAATGTCTTAAAAATTATCTGCCCCATTGGAGGCCTGGGAAAAAGGGATGGGCTCAACACCTTGGCTGATTCTCGTATGTTTCGGGTTTGGTGCAATTTCAATGGCAGTGTTTATATAAACTTTTACCTATACCTAACTCATAATCGCACCTCCACTTTCTTCTCAATGGGCAATGGGCATATACAGTGAATCTGATCATAACGGACCCCGCTCAGAGCGGAAAACCGATCTTAACGGGCATTTTTTCCAGTCCCGTAATTCATAAATGCATGCAAATAAACCCGTTCATAGCGGAAACCTGCTGTTAACGGAAAAATTTTCGGTCCCGCGAGATTCTGTTATGAACAGGTTTCACATCGTTTAACAAACTCTATGCCGTATTTCTCTTTTTCACCATAACACTATTCTAAATCAATTTTTTGAAAACTCTCTCGTAACGGGTGGATAAATCCCTGTTAAATAGCGAATTTATTCCGTCTCAGAATGGAGTTAATACTATTTAGTTCGGGGTATTTTTCGTGTCAGACATATGCAAAGCCCCGAAGTTAATCGGATGATCGAAGTTGATGAAGAAGATAAGTAATTAGTAGAGTAACAGAGGGAAATAAGATCACTACGTAAAATTTACAACACAAAGCATCGGCAGCAGTGTAGAGATGTGACAAATAGTGATCACAGCGCCTTGATGCAACTATTCATGCGCAATGGATATCCGTGTTGCATACACCAAAAATTGAAGGCGTTTTTGCTTTGCGTGTCCCAACTAGAATCTGATGCGCCACGCACGTGCGGGAGAACAACATCACTGCCCTAGTTAGATATTTATTTTGCCGCAGAGTGAGTTAATACCATCTAATTTGGTGTTTTTTTTATTGCCAGACATGTACAAAGCCCCGAAGTTGATCCCGTACCCGAATTGGGCGTCGCAGAACATGAAGTCGAAGGAGCCGGGCCTCAAGATCGTCTCGCCGTTCCGGATGAGCGTGGACGCCTGCGACCGGCTCTGGATGGTCGACCTGGGGATCCTGGACATCAAGACCTCCTTCACGAAGCTTTTCCAGCCGAGGATCCTCGTCTTCGACCTCAAGACCGACCAGCTCGTCCTCGAGCGGGAGATCGAGGCCAAGCTGCTGCCCTGCCGCACCTGGATCGCCAACATCATCGTCGATGTCGAGAGGGACAACTGCCAGGACGCCTGGGCCTACATCCCGGATCTCTGGGGCAAGGTCCTCATCGTGTACAGCATGCAGAAGAATGACGCTTATCAGGTTTGTTCTTTCGGCCGATTATTCGAATGACGTCACACAGAGGATTGAGTCAATAGGACGGGTCGGACAAAATTTGAAAATTTTAAAAGCTTAAAGTCACCTCAAAGGGGGGGGGGTGCGGAGATGGTCACTATGGCTTCATGGCGTATGAACTACTCATCAGAGGGATAGATAGGGCTCATAGCTGTGGTGAAAGCAGCCTGTCTAGGAGACGCTACTCCAAAATCAAACCCTGGTCCTGAAGGTTGGGGGTTGGGGCATCGGGTTAACTTCCCGATACCCGGAAAAAACTTAATGCTAAAAATCCTAACAAAGATAGCCTCGGTGACCATGGAAAAAAACGGATTTTATTCAGGCACGTTCGTGGACTCGACGAACACCAATTTTATTTTAAGTAACTGAATATATTCGGCACCGTGCATAAGTTTCTAAAAGTTTCAAGTTTTTAAAAGTTCAAGTTTGAAAGTTTAAACTCCTTCTGAAAAGTTGTAAGTTCTTATCAAAAATCATGCGTAAGCAAAGCTTTAGATAATTTGTAAAAACTTGATTCGTGGAGTCCACGAGCACATAATATTGCTATAAGGTGTTCGTGGACTTTAAAATTTCAAACTTGAACTTTGAAAAACTTGAAACTTCTATAAACTTACACAAGGTGCCAAATTTATTCAGTTATTTAAAATAAAATTGGTGTTCGTGGAGTCCACGACCGAGGATAAATTGAACATGCTACATTAATTTCAGCTTTTTGTTTGTGGTGTTCATGAACGCTGCCGTGCTAGGGAAGAACGCCGTATGAACATTTAAGAGTTGCCAAATTGCCTCGTATAAAACACGTATTTTTGAAGAAAATCGTGCGTATTTTTCCTCGAAATTTTCAGGCGACCAAGATAAAATTGCGAACAAAACTGCCTGAAAAAATTAAAGAAAAATATTACCGATTTTCCCAGTAAATTAGGGTTTTAGAGAAGGAAATATGACCGCTTCTGAAGGCTCATACCGCGTTCTTCCTTAGCACGGCAGAACTGTAGACAGTAAGAAGCGTTACCCTGAAGCTCCACCTTGAATATTAGCGTTTTTCCAACTTTACCCCGGGTTTCCGTGTTTCTTGACAGGTGAACCACCAGTACTTCAACTCTGACCCACTGGCCGGCAACTACTTCATCGGAGGCTTCAACTTCCGGTGGGACGACGGTATCTTCGGGGTGGCGCTATCGCCGCGCTCGGCGGAGACCGGCGAGAAGACGCTGTTCTTCCACGCGCTCTCCGCCTACACCGAGTACGCCGTCTCGACGCGCGTCCTCAAGAACGCCACCCTCGCCGCCGACTTTTACGGCTACAAGCTCCTCGGCTCCCGCGGCGGGGAATTCAACCAGGCCGGCGCCCAGTCCATGGACCCCCAAACGGGCGTCCTCTTCTACACGCTCCCCCACAAGAACGCCATCGGCTGCTGGAACGCTTGCGATAAATCGCAGGAATACTCTCCTCGTACTGCTGTTCAGGTAATTATTTTATACATACATACATTCCAGTCGCTTTACAGCGGGCTCGGGCGCTCTGCGACACCTAATCGCCATCCTTGCCTATCGATCCAGAGGTCATCTGGTAGATGGCATCTTGTGATTTCATCTTGAATGCCACCAATCCACGATTTTGCTGGGCGTCCCCTACGTCTTCTCCCAGGAGGAACCCAATCTAGCACCTTCTTAGGCAACCTATCATCCGCCATTCGTTGAACATGACCATACCAGACAAGCTGTTTGGTCATAATTTCATGCACGATGTTCTGCTCGGCGTTCATGATCTCACGGACTCTTTCGTTCCTTACGTGATCTCTCCTCGAGATTCCGGCTGATCTTCGCCAGAAATCCATCTCAGTTGCCTTAAGAATCTTTTTGGTACG